TCTGTACCAGTGTACATCCTCTGGTCTAGTCAGATTTGTAAAGTAGACTTGGGATCATGATAGTGTGTGGGGAGGAAGCATTTAGGAGCAAGGCTTTAACAAACAAATTTATTTTCACATGTTTTAGGATGACAGGAATCTGAAACAAGACTGTGAGCTCTAAGGGAAGGCTTTCTATGTGTGTTGGCTTTTGGGAAACATTTTTGTCTTCTTTTAACATCTGTAGGTCTTAGTACTCCTTGGAGATCTCCTGGTGTCTTGGTATAAGTCTCCTGCTAGGTCTAGGAGGTTCTCAGCAAAGGGACTTCAGAGAACTCGAAGAAATTTGGATGTTGGTCTTGATGCCACCCCAGAATTCCTCTAGAACCCCATATATCACTGTGGTCTCATGAAAGAATAAGAATCACTGCTCTCTATGCTGCCCATTATGTTGGTTTTTTTTATTCTCCATATCGTTCACATAAGACTTGCACAAGTTCATTGCATTCCATTTTCACGCATTCCATTGACTGTGACATAAAATTTGAGAGGCACAAGAGACCCCAGAGACCATTAAATTGAAGGTGTTCATTTTATAACCAAGTGAAGTGAGGGCCTGAGAAAGGAACTGAATTGCTCAAAGTCACACAGTAAGTATGTTAGTAGCATTGTAACTAGAGCCCAGGTTGCTTAGGTCAAGCCCTGTACTCTTTCCATAGATTGCAGATTCTATTGCATTAGAACCACCACGAACCACATTGGCTCCATGCACCAAGCTAGGCCCAGGGCCTGCATTGATTCTATATATCAATGTTCAGGTTCGGATACAGATTATTTACTTTACCATTCTGATTGCATGTATCACCCTGGTCTTTGTCTGTTTCTTTTTTTACCATACCATTTTCGTGTTGTTTCCCTGTCCTCGTGGTTCCTATGCCATTATGTTTCATTAAATTATTATCTCTAATGTTGGTCGCCCTCCCAATACAAGGATGATACACCTCGCCCTTGCCAGGTGACTTGCATTACTTCTCTGTGAGAAGAAAATACTTCTTAAATCTGTACCATGAGTTTGATCATGTGACTTATTTTGACCACTGGGTTATGAAAAGATGTATGTGACCCTAATGAGAATACGTTTGAGCACATTGAGCCATTTTCTTTTACTTCTGTCACAGAATGACATAGTTCAGGTAGAGCTCCCTTTTCATCCTGGATGAAAAAAAACCCAGTAGGCCAAGTCTACCTCCAACTAATATGAGGAAACCATGAACATTTGCTGCTGTAGCCACAACATTGCAAGTTGATCAATGCATTTGTCCCACTGGATAAATATTATGTTGACTCAATTGTACAGGGTTAGTTGAGGACTTTATAGACATTGTTCCTTTTCTCTGCATTGGATGTTCTAACCCAGGTGTCCTTTAGATCCCACTTCATCAGGCCACCCTACCGCGCTTCATCACCTTGAGGAAAGCTCCCTTAATGTCCTTGTTCCTTAGACTGTAGACTATGGGGTTAAGCAGAGCAGTGAAGACATTGTAAAAGAGTGAGACCTGCTTATCACATTCAGAGGAGTAGTTGGAATTGGGCCTCATATAGATGTAAGTGGCTGGACCATAAAAGAATGTGACCACAGTCAGGTGAGAAGCACAAGTAGAGAAGGCCTTAAAACGGCCCCTGGTGGACTTGATCTTGAGAATGGCCAGGGTAATCCGAATATAAGATGCCAAAATTAAGGAGACTGGCGTAGCAACCATAAATACACCCATGACTAGGTCTACCATCTCTATGAGGTGGGTATCCATGCAAGCCAAGCTCCGTACCGAGGGACCTTCACAGAAGTAGTGGTTGACGATGTTGGGCCCACAGTAGGGCAGCCTCATGGTGAGGAAGGTGTGAATCAGAGAGAAGGAGAAACCACAGACCCAAGTCCCAGCTGCCAGCCGTGTGCACAAGCCCCAACTGAGCATAATAGTATAACGCAGTGGATAGCAAATGGCCACATATCGGTCATAGGCCATGACCACAAAAATGATGCCCTCAGATAGGCCCAGGGCACCAAACACATACATTTGCATCCAACAGCCAGCAAAGGAGATGTCCTGAGAGTGAGTGAGAAGGTGCACCAGCATCTGAGGCATGGTGGTGGTGACATAGCCCATGTCCAGCAGGGAGAGAATACAGAGGAAGAAGTACATGGGAGTGTGGAGATGTGAGTCCAGGCAGATCAGAATGACGATGAGCCCATTGCCTAGGATTGAGCTCAGGTACAAGATAAGGAAGACAATGAAGAGGATCCTGTTGGAGATGGAGTCACTGGAGAAGCCAAGCAGAATAAATTCAGCAACCCAGCTTTGGTTGTGCTCTGAAAGCATCCACATATTGAGGCCTATAAGAGAATTATATCCTTATAAAAGTCACCCAAAGTATGTTATCAGCTGTGGAGGGAAACAGACTAGGATTTTATTTCTGGCCCCACTACTCATCTGCTATGTAATTGTAATTGTAAGCAACCTTACAATCTCTCTGAGCCTCTGTCACCTTACATGAAAATGTAGCTAGTAGTACTCATCTCTTAAAGCTTTCATCAGAAGAGTCCATGTATATAAAGCAGGAAATACTATGTCTTTAAACAACAGGCGATATGGAGGATGGGCATATGCAACCTCCTGTTCTCATTCCAAACCCCTCATCAAATGAAATGGTTACTCACCTGTCTAGAAATATCCATTTATACCACATCAACATCTACCTCAACACCTCTGAGAGATGAAAACTTCCTATACTGTTGTTTGAATATGCCCAAACAAATGTTTATATCCCGCTGCTCCTACCACAAGGCATTGCTAATGACCCCATCTCTTTCCTACTGAGCTTGAGGAGGATTCCGATTCCTTAATCTGACACACTAATTAATGACCACAAGTTAGGATGAATCAGCACTCAAGGAGAATATCTAACCCCTGTTCAGTTCTTTTCTCTAACCGTGTTATGGATGTTAAAAGGACTCCATTTTTCAGAGCTCATCAGCAGGAACCTCCATCTAAAGGACTGTCTCTACCTTGCCAGATCCACAGAAGCACCCCATCAGGTGCCTGTCAGGCCAAATCATAAAGCCAGACAAGAGCAGAGACTTGTCATTTCGTTCTACCACACTCTACTTATCCTCATCCCGTTTCTAGGCCACAATTCTACTTGCTTTCCTTCATTTGTCAAAGGCTTTGACACCCAAATTCCAGTGTCTCTTTGTCATTAGACATGTCATTTCCCAAAATGCCTTCCATGCCTCTATGGACAGCTCATCGTTCCATACCATGGACTCTCATTATTTTTTAACTTCTTCAATTCTAATGACCTTCACTTTATATCCCTTTGATCACCTCTCTCACTCTTTTTCTGTCAGTCATATTCTGAACCTTGCCATCAATTGGAAAGGTAATGTCTCTGAATTCACTAATCCATTTATCTCACTTTCTCACCTCATCATCTATCTCTTCAGGTATATCCCTTCCTTACTCCCTTTACACCTATTCTTTTTTGTAATTTTGGACACCCTCCCACCCTGGAAATTGCAAGTTGAGGTAACCGCCATCATCGTTAATCCATTCTGGACTTTTTCTTCCTTTATATCATTTAACTTTTAATCTTCATCTTTAATCACTGTTCTCATTACTGTACCAAAAATAACCATTCTGATAATGTCTTTAGTGTGTGTCTTCCAATGTATATGTTTCCTTATGAAGCATGTTTCAATGTGCTTTATTTTTCATTTACTTTCATAGTTTTATGTGATAAATCTCACCCCTTTGTCATTTTTTATATTCAATACCTTTAGATATCACTCTATACTTTTGTCCATAGTTTTATTTCAGTGGCATAGCTCAATCTATTTTTGGATGCTGTCATATCGGTTTCCACTCACAGTGATTTTGGAAATAAACTGTCCTCAGGGTGCCTATGAATAAGACCACATTACTTTTAAAAAGTGACCTGGCCCTAGACTTCTCAAGAGGAACATTGAAATAAAGTAACAACCAAGCAATAGTTCCAAGAAAATAAAAATGATTCAAATATATCATAGCAATTAAGTTATTCTTCAAATATTATATCTACAGAAAAAAATAGTTTAAAATGCAAAAGTTGGGAAATGCTACATTCATTAACTATGTTATACTAAATTAACTATACTCATTAACAACATACTGTAAAATCAACTTTATTCAACTAAAAGATTGCTGGGGAAATTTCAACAAAACAATTGATGCTTACCATGTCATTGTATAGCCTACTTAAGTTGATATAAAAAATACAAAAGTAAACATAAGAATACAAACAAACAAAATTTAAGAACTTACCAAATTACAAGAGAAATATAAAATATAAGAGCAATGAATAAATATAATGCAGTATAATTAGAATCATACTAAAACAACATTATAAAATTAGACCAAATAATTCTATGTATAGATGTGAATGGTGTTAACTCACAAATGATAAACATTTTCAAATTAGCTTAAAAAGCAAAATGTATCTCCATACAAGATACATAGCCAGAATGATTTTAAAAGTTCAAAATGAACCACGTGCCATGTAATTGAAGCAATGAGAAAGCCAGAAGTAGATCCTGATATCAGGCGATGGAAATTTCATGCCAAAAAGCACTATGTGACAGAAAAGGAACATCTTATAATCCCAAATCTCATAATTCACAATAAATATATACATTATGCTATGCACAAAACAACACGGGCCCCCTATATGAAGCAGACATTAACTAAAGAGATGAGAAAAGGATAGAAACCTGCTGTAAGTTAAAGACTTTAACAAAGTTCAGACAATTTAAACAGACAAAATTTAAGGATATAGAACTGTACTATACAATATGATAGCCACTAGCCACATGTACCTAATGAACACTTTACTGAGGCTAGACCAGAGTGAAATGAACTTGTTCTGTATCAGGAATCTCAGACCCAGAACAAAATCATACCCAATGTGAAGGGGGTGGGGGGACATGGAGTGGAGACCCAATGCCCATCTGTAGACAATTGGACATCCCCTCATGGAAGGGTCACAGGGAAACGATGACCCAGTCAGGGTGCAGTATAGCACCAATGAACACACAACTTTCCTCTAGTTCTTTGGTGCTTCCTTCACCCCACTATCAAGACCTCAATTATGCCTTACAAATTGGATTAGACCAGAGCATGCACACTGCTACCGATAAGAGCCCGCAACACAGGGAATCCAGGATAGATAAACCCCTCATGGCCAACAGTGAAAGTAGGGATACCTGGAGGATTAGGGGAGGGTGAGGGAAGAAAGGGGGAATCGATCACAAGGATCAATCTACAACCACCTCCAAGGGAGACGAATAATGGAAAACTGGGTGAGGGGCAACGGAGAATGATGTAAGATATGGAAATAATCATCTACAACTTATCAAGGGTTCGTGAAGGAGGATGGCGGGGAAGGGGGAAGAAATGGGGAGCTGATATCAGGGGCTCAAGTGGGAAGAGAATGCTTTGAAAATGATGATGACGGCATATGTGCAAATGTGCTTGACACACTGGAGGAATGTATGGATTATGATAAGAGATGTAAGAGCCCCCAATAAAAGTATTTTTTTAAGAAATGAACTTGTTCTAAGTGTAAAACATGTATTATATTTTAAAGATTTTAAATAATAGAAGAATATATAATATCTCAATAATTTTATTTGATTAAAAGTTGAAATACTGTTTTTAATATTAAGTCACATAAAATGTGTTATTAAAGTAAATGCTTGGTTTATTTTTAATTTTTAAATGTGACTACTGGAAAAAATTTAATTATATGTCATCACATTTTCTATTGGATAGGCTAATATAAAATATCTGAATAACAAGGTCAATAAAGAAAATCTGAGACCCAGATACTAAACATAATGCCCTAACAATGAACATTCACTACACCTAATTTTAAAGTGATTTACTAATAAAATATTATTAAGTTCCATAAAGTAAAAATACTAAAAAAACACTTTAGACAAAATACAATAGAATTCATTACTAAAAGAAAATTTAGGGGGGGGAAATCCTACTAACTGGAAATTTTCAAAGTTTTATTTAACTAAATTTTGGAGAAAGGAAAAATAAACAGAAATGACACCACTACACACCCACCACTACATAGATATTCTAAGAAATAATGATCCTTGAAACTTTACATATCAAAATCTAAGGGACATATTTCAAGCAGTAAATCAGAGGAAAATTCATAGCTTTCAGCATGTATATCATTAAAACTATAAGAGTAAAAATTAACCAAATTAATACCTTATTAAAAGACTAGGAAAAGAACAAGAAAATTAACTTTTTAGTAAGTGCTTGGATCATGTAGATATTCATTCAGATTATTATTTTTTAAATTCACACAGTACACAAAAATCAATTCCAGATGTACTGTAGATTTAAATGGTAATGGTAAAATTTCTATACTCAGACACAGGACAATATATTCATCTCCTCGGGGTCAGCAAAGATTTCTTAAACCATATTGTCATCCATAACAATCCTACAAGGCAAAATGGATGAAATGAAAAAAAATTCCTACAATAGGCAAAAGAAAGCCAAATTTTCTTTTACTCCCAAAGGGAGTGCCATCCCATTGAGAAAATGCTTGGCAGAATCCCCTAAAGTTGAACATACGCACCACTCAGCAATTTCTATTTCTAACCATTTTCCCACCTACTTACCCACACATATATGTGTTTAATAAAACTAGGTATAAGAATGTTCAAAACACTATTCAAAATAGATGTAAGTAGGAAACTACCAAAATATCAATCAAGAGTATAATGCGTGAAAACAGTGTAGTATATCAATAATGTAGAGTGTTCTACCAAACCCATGAACCATAACCACAGGCTAGGGATGATTCTCACAAATACCAAATTAAGTGGGAAAAGCTGAACACGAGAGAATACGTGGTATATTACTTCATTTACATAAAGTTAAAAATGGTAACCCTCATTTAAGGTGTTAGAAGTCAGAATCGAGGTTAACCTTTGATAAGGGTATAGACATGAAAGACGCTTCGAATCATCCTAGGTCTTCCATTTCTGTGCCTGAAGGTCCTCTGCCATGTACAGATCCAATTTGCCCTTACCTATCCCTCAGGGTCATCTGTGCCTGTGTCCTTGGGCAGGCGTCCATCGTTTCTCACCTGCATTCTTCCATCAGTATTGCCCTACACTCTGAACTCACTTCCTTTAATTCATTCTCCACAGAGATTGCTCCAGAGGTTGTTCCAAAACACCTCCACGTCCCCATCTGTCCCCTGCTCAAAACTCTGTTTCAGAGCTCTCTATGCCCCATTGCTTTAGCCAGAGTGTTTCCAA